CCGTGATGGGTTCTTTTTTTTTTTTTAAGTGTACCCGGAGAGAGTTGCGGCCGTTATAGCCCCGCTGCTGCACGGTGGCAGTGCTTACCAACTTACAAATGGTGATTAAACACCCACAAGTATGCAAGCGAGATACACATGTGGCATTAGGACATTGAGATGTTTCGCCCTCCAGGGTCGAGTCAATGCTGCCATGGGTTATGGGCGGAGTTTAGGTTACAATTGTTCTGCTTAGGTGGAATGCGTTTTGCCCGGTGGTATAGCAATGAGAGCAGCTTCCAGACCAAGCCTGGTTGATGACCTCATCAGTTAGGCTCTTGATGCTCGTTGTATAGAAATCTGGCGTAGAAACCAAACTTTGCTCCTCTGTCACTTTGAAAAGACTTTATGTTGACCTCTCTCGCTGCCATGTTTTTGCTCTTATTACTGCTACCACAACTGCTGTTTCTTGTAACACTTGCCGCTGCTCCAGCCAGCCAGCCAACCAGCTATTTCCTATTTGTAATTACAGTAGCAGAGCTATGCTCGTGGTTTCCCGTCTTGAGTGTTTAGCTCGTCATAAAATTTTAATAGTTTCTAATGGTTGCGCCGCTTAGTTTAACATGCAACTGTTTATAAAGAAAGGTTTTCTAGTACCTTATCGGCACCTATTCTTTTTATCACTTTACACTTGTATATTTTTGTCTTAGTGCCAAGGACGAAGTCGAGTGGCATCGAGTACTACTCGACTAGATATAAAGGCTTTCTGCCCCACGAAATGAAGTACAGAGCGAAATGTTGTCACAAGAAAAGCCTGTTTCTTTTCTTTAAGTACACTTGTAGTTAGGCCTTGTTGCATGTAAAGATTTTCTGCAGCCGTAGCTACCAACACCAACTGGATGCTTCCTCCTCAGACTTACAGAAACTCTTCTCTTAGCATCTGTCTGATATTGTTTCATCTCGACGGAGGTAGTGGTAGGAGGGCAATCAATATTTGTGTTGATAGTAATTAGTGTGATTATTATTATTATTATTTCTTCATAAAGTTTCTATTACTGGTTTGGGTGTTCCTTCTGTATTGACTCATTCTGGCATGATTGGTGGGACATACACTGAGCTGCCAGCTCAGTCACTACTATTGAACGTAAGCAAGAATACACAAAAAACAACGTAAAAACTAAACAAGGTTGATAAAATATTTTTACAGTATTTTTTTCATAAACAATGGTTAAAGGCTGTTTTTTATTAATGTTCAGCTGTTGATAATGTCACTGCCGCTTCTGGCTATGTATTACACTGAGAGGGGTATGTCTCTGTATACACCTAGAGTTTACTTTAATCATTATTTAGGTGTTTTCATTACTAACGTCATGGCGTCTGGCATTTGCTGTATTTCATCATATTTACTATCCTAGCACAGTCCACTGCTTTTATTCTGTTTATGTGCATTTATTGAGGTGTTTGTTTATGCTGCTTCGTCATATATATCTAGCCGTCTTTTGTTATTTGGTACAGATTAGTATACGACAGCCACAGACACTGTGGAACCTTAGAAATCACTGTATCAAACATTGGTGCTATATGACTTCAGCTGAACATCAGCAGATGTCAGAAATATTGCTGGAAGACAAGAAACATTTTCGGGGAGAAATTGGACTATATATCTAGCCTTCGATGGCTGTGTCTACCGGCGAGCCACTAGCAGCAATAACCTGGCTGACTATCTAGTCAGTGAGGGTTGAAACACCCGCGAAACCGGTCACAGGCACATTATGTTCAGTGATAGGCGTTACTGGTGCGTAATCAGTGAGGTTACTAGGTGTGTGGGGTATCATGTACATCCAGTTGCTTCCTTTTTACAAGGACCATTCCTTCTCCCCTCCGTCTTCCGTCTGTGTGGTAGTACTAGGTTTGGTTTAGAAAAACACGTAAGCAAACACTAGGACACGTTAGAAAATGTTTCGGTCCAGGGACCTTGATCACTTCTAACATACAGAGGTTGAAAGACATATATAGGCGGAGAGTGAGGTGTGAGTGACGTGAGTGACCTTAGAAATGCCGGTGACGAGGTTTATGCCGGTCATTAGGGTACTTGGTTGCTGTTATCACCTCTCTTATCTTGGTCTTCCTGAGTATCAAGAGAAGGTGTACTTGTAATCTCTCTTCTTGAAGATCCTGTTCATGAGTTTCTTTAAGCACTGTATAAGAACTACCATCATTGTTTAAACTCTCTCATCATTGTATAACGCTACCATCACTGTATACTTTTCTTTCACTGATTATTAATATCTTGCGCATGTATGAACAATTCCTCCATGTATAAGTTTTACATAATAAATGTGTTCATGTAGAATGCAGCTGTAGTTGCACTCAGCAGTAATTTATGGCTCTTGTACCTTCCATTAATTTATTTATTTATTGTTAAATTTACATTACACATTTTTTGGCAAAACTATTTTTTCTTCATAAGCAAAGATCGCAAGCACTGCATAAAACCCTGAAGGAATGTACTTTGATGCCGGTGAAGGGTTCTTGATCCAAGGAAGTGGATCTATCTTCTTCCGTCTGATGAACATACAAGATGACATGTTAAACCTTCTATTAGCATTCATTGTATATTTATTTGTGTTTTTCTGTGTCTCAGTAATTGCCTCTTCGATGTTTCCCTTCCATTATAGAAGTGTTGATCAGTAGTGTGGTCGCTGGGCGATGATTCTCACAGCTACACAAGAGATGTAACACACATTCACGTCATTTAAGCTTAGTTTCTCTTTGTGGTGAACAGTCTGTGGGTGGTAGTTGAGGTGTTGTGTTGGGGTGATGTAGGTGCTGTCTGGGTGGTGATGGTGTGTTGGAGTGATGTACGTGCTCTCTGGGTGGTGATGGTGTGTTGGAGTGATGTACGTGCTCTCTGGGTGGTGATGGTGTGTTGGAGTGATGTACGTGCTCTCTGGGTGGTGATGGTGTGTTGGAGTGATGTACGTGCTCTCTGGTGGTGATGGTGTGTTGGAGTGATGTACGTGCTCTCTGGGTGGTGATGGTGTGTTGGAGTGATGTACGTCCTCTCTGGGTGGTGATGGTGTGTTGGAGTGATGTACGTGCTCTCTGGGTGGTGATGGTGTGTTGGAGTGAGGCAGGTGCTCTCTGGGTGGTGGTGTGTTGGGGTGATGTAGGTGCTCTCTGGGGGTGGTGGTGTGTTGGAGTGAGGCAGGTGCTCTCTGGGTGGTGGTGTGTTGAGGTGATGTAGGTGCTCTCTGGGTGGTGGTGGTGTGTTGGAGTGAGGCAGGTGCTGTCTGGGTGGTGTGTTGGGGTGATGTAGGTGCTCTCTGGATGGTGTGTTGGGGTGATGTAGGTGCTCTCTGGATGGTGTGTTGGGGTGATGTACGTGCTCTCTGGGTGGTAGTGGTGTGTTGGAGTGAGGCAGGTGCTCTCTGGGTGGTGGTATGTTGAGATGACGCAGGTGCTTTTTGGGTGGTGGTGTGTTGGGGTGATGTAGGTGCTCTCTGGGTGGTGGTGGTGGTGTGTTGGAGTGAGGCAGGTGCTCTCTGGGTGGTGGTGTGTTGGGGTGAGGCAGGTGCTCTCTGGGTGGTGGTGTGTTGGGGTGAGGCAGGTGCTCCCTGGGTGTGTTGGGGTGATGCAGGTGCTCTTTGGGTGGTGTTGGGGTGATGCAAGTGCTCTCTGGGTGGTGTTGGGGTGATGCAAGTGCTCTCTGGGTGGTGTTGGGGTGATGCAAGTGCTCTCTGGGTGGTGTTGGGGTGATGCAAGTGCTCTCTGGGTGGTGTTGGGGTGATGCAAGTGCTCTCTGGGTGGTGTTGGGGTGATGCAGGTGCTCAGTCATGTAACAGGAACCACGTATTAATGGGTTTTTTCCTTGGCGGTATTATCATTCTTCTCACTGTTATTGTCTCTTATTTTCTTGCAGTGTTGTGACCTGGTTCCACCTCATTCTTACTGCCAGGCACGTAGCAAGAACACTATTTTAGGCCTGCTGGTCGATGCCAGACCTTAATCACAACCAACCATTTTAATTTATCTAACCTATTTTTCGTCATTAAGGTTGCCCGGCAGGCTGCTGCGTTCATATACAACACCTCCAACCTATATTTACCCGTACCATCATTAAATATAAATTTGTCCAGTTTGAGTCTCTTCGTACAAGTTTTACCGAGATTGTCTCACGTGTGGTAGTTAACATTTTGCCATAGGCACTTTGTGTGTGTGTGTGTGTGTTGTGTGTGTGTGTGTTTGTGTTTGTGTTTGTGTTTGTGTGGCTGCCACGATAATAATGTGATCTTCATAAGAACTGACTGGTCTTATGATGTGGATTGATTTTGTCACTCTTCTCAGTATATTTTAAGCTAATTTTTCAGCTATTTCTCTCAATATTTAACACACACCCCGTCTTGTTACACCACTTAAGAGTGTACGTAGATTGTTTTCAGATTTACCTGTCATATTAAATGTTTATGATTATTACTCTTATTATTATTATAATCATGGAGCGCTAAACCCGTAGGATTATACAGCGCCTGTTGGGGGGAGGGATGGAAGGCATTCAGGCTCAATTCAGGGAACTGGAGCACAGATCCAATTCCCTAGATCAAGAGCCCCTCACCAGCGTCATCGGCGACATATTTATGAGATTAGGCAAAAACTAAAACTCCTGACAAACTGCATAATATTTAAGCGTTAGTCTCTCACTAATATGAGAGGAAGGTAGTACTTCCCTGGATGGTCGCTGTTTACCACCTTACTACCTGCTGTGTGGGAACGAAGACACTGCTAGCATAGAATCCTTTATAATACGCGTCGCTCAAGGATGGATTTTATTCCCACTTGTCGGCTTTTGTCATTATATACCTATCTGGTGTATGTATGTATGTATGTATGCATGTATGTATGCATGTATGTATGCGAGTTTCACACTCGTGAGCTAACAGTAACACTGTCTTGGACGGTTATCTATCGACCTACTATCTGTTTGAGCTACGTTGACCTACGGTGACCTAAACTAGGCAGTATCTCAACATAGCTTTTTACTGCGTTGTTTTGTTGCTCGACAAAGAGTGGTATACTCTGAAATTTATTTTACCTTGAGACCTAATTGCTTACCTTGACGCTCGTGATTACCTACTTGTAGCTGCAGGAAGAGACTTATGCTGCTGGTGGCCCGTCTTCAGTGTTTAGTTTTTCATAATTTATAAAGTTAACTTAGTTTGGTTGTGATAAGATTTTATAATGTCCTGAGGTGACGAGGTTCAGTTAGAGGTCGTTGGTTTGCTCCCACCAACACTTCTTACACCACTTAACCCCTAATGTATGGATATAGATACATTGTGTGTGTAATTTATACAGAATTATTTAAAAGGTTTTGGTAAATTTTGTCTCAAAATCATTATTATGCAGGAATTCACCTTCATTTTAGCTATGATAGATGTGATAATAATATAATTGTAAATCATTTCAGTATATATAGGTGGAAAAAAGTAAAACTCATGTTGTGCGCTAAACCCACGTGGCTTATTCAGCTCAGGACGTGGAGGAGGCTTGATCCAACGTCTGCTCAGTAGAAGTTGGAATAAGAGTAACTTAACAACTGCAGATATTTTACTCACAGTGGCTTTATAAATTGTGACTTATAATCAGAGTACACATCTGTTTTTGTATGTGTGTTGGTGCTGTGGTGGCGTGTACTTGTACAAGATTGAAGTCGCCACAATTTGAGTGGTCTTTTATGTTGTAGTCTTGATCGGTGTGGTGCTGACTTGCTACCACCGCCCTGTGATCTCTCCGTGTTGTCAATGTTTTATACATTATACTGTCACTCTGTGAGGTTTTAAACTCGTGTGGCTCATCACAAATAGTGGCGGAGTCTCGATTCTCCGTCTGGCAATCTCCAGACGCGCTCTGTAACTGCTGGGAAGGGACCATGACTTGCCATGAAGAGTTGCTTGTTACCGCTGATGTAGTTGTGATAGGTAATTCATAACCTTAAGGTCAGTAAGATCGGCGTTGGCTATAGTGAGAGGATTCTTGTTCAGTATGCGCTCTGCCAGTGCCTCTCTCTCAGCGCGGTTGAGTGCCGCCCTGGACCACACGGGCACGTGAGGTGGGCGAAGATGGGCGTACGGGGAGTAAGGTACGCCCACGAGGTAGATGGTGGTAGTGGGGGAGAGTTGAAGAATTCTGACCCCCTGGTGGAGACCCATGTGGGAGAAGCCCCAGGCTCCCAGACAGTGTGCCACTGGGAAGTAGTCTTGTATGTCGGGGGAACCATCGACCTTCTTGGTCATGTTGAGGTAGATGACGTAGGTGGTAGGTTGGGGGGGCGTGGGCAGGAGGCTGCTGCATGGGTTGTGCTGGAAGATGGGGGTGGCAGCCATAATGCTGGCAGCTAGTTTCTTCCTCCAGTGTGGCAGCTGCACCTCCTTTACCCCTTCCAACACTACCTCGCTGTCTTCCACCACTGGGTTGAGCAGGAAGAACATCTCAGCGATCCATGGCACTGTGTTGACGCCCATCCCGAAGTGTCTAGTACGACTCACGTCTGGGAAGATGCACTCTCGGCCGCCAGCCACGTTCTTGTAGAGCCAGTAGTCGTACTGCAGTGACCCCGTGGCTAGTTCCGGCCTCCGCCACGCTCTCAGCGCTTCGCGCACGAAATCTAGCGTGATGGCGTAGCCCCAAGACACCTGGTTCTCGCCGCGATATATTCTGCTAGCGTGGTGGGATAAGTCCTTGGTGCTGCCGTAGGCGTTGACGCAGTAAAGTGTGGGGTCAGCCTGCAGTAGCCACAGCGTCTGGCTCATATAAGAGAAGAAGTCTGGCGAGACTTGTACATCTTCCTCGATAACGATGGCAGCCCAGGCGTCGGGAAAGGTGGCGGCTAGCAGCTGGAAGACGCCTCCATAATACCTGAAGAGGTGCTCGTTGTGCTGCTGCGGGAGGGGGAGTGTGGTGAAGGTGACGTTCAGTAAACGCAGCAGCTGTATGGTGGCGGGTGGTGCGTCACCCACTACCACCATAATGTTGTTGTGTTGTGCCCCCGGAGCGGCCAGCAGGGCGGTGAGGCTGTAGTAGAGGTACTGGTACCTCTGACCTGCCGTCATCACCACTGGCACCCCCGCCAGGGCGCTCTGCTGTGTTACCGGCGGCGGGGAGGGCCAGGGAAGCGGGTCTGGGGAGAACTCGTCACAAAGGCCTCCCATGGCACCGTGAGTGTCACAGTAGTGCCAGCGGTGAGCCTCCAGGCTACTAGTCTGGGTGTTAGGTGGTGGGAGGTGTGAGAGGGGAAGGATGGTGTGAGTGTGGTGGGGGGCAGTGCCCCTGAGCACAGCCGTCTCTGAGAAAGTTCTTCCACCCTTGATGAAGGTCCACGTCCAGTGTGTCGCTGGTGTCAGGTGGTGAGCCAGCAGGGAACCCAGCTGTGTCAGGTGGTGGGCGGCATAACGTACACCCACAGTGCCACCCACTGCCACACTCATCACTACCACCCGCCCTGCTGACACTCTCTCCAGGTGCCACTCTAGATCCATATAGTGAGCCCAGTACTCCTCCAGCGGGAACACCTGCAAACATCACACACGCTCACACATCTTAACACCTGCCACCCTCCACACACTGTGACAGCCTTTTGTGTATCTAAACCCCCACGTGCTTTGATGCTGGTGAAGGGCTCTTGATCCAAGGAAGTTAATGTCCCCTTTCCTTGGATCGAACATGATTACCTGCCGTTTTCCAGGTGTTGTGAATCTGCTGTGGGTTTGCTCTTCTCTGTGATCATACTAATTATCATTCATCTCCAACCTCTGTAACTTTCAACGTCCGTCTCTCTCTTTCCTCTCATCAGAGAAGATATCTGCACTAGTTCCAGGTTATCTAATTTAAGGTTTAATCAGGTTCGATGCAAGGAAGGGGAAGGACACTCCAATTCTTTGAATCAAAAGCCCTTGTCCAGCATAAAGGCGATGTGGACGAGACATACTAGTATCGCTGTACACGGAAAACTGAACTCGAACCATACCACGGGCGGGGATAGAACCCGCGATCAATCTCAAAACTCCATATATATATTTCTAATATTTGTTTTATATTTTTCTTTAGAGTATCTCTATAAACATTGTATACATTTTTTCATTACACTAATGTATCATTATTGTTGCTCACCTTGTGGAAGATGAGTGAAGATGTCCTTTGGTGGAGGATGGAGAGGGTAATGCCCTGCTGGGTGGTCGTGGAGGTGGATGAGTGAGTACGGGCATCACCATGTAGTAAGGTGAACCCCAAGGTGAATAGTGGAGCATTGTTGCAGGTGACCTGCTGGTGGTGGTTTTCATTATGACGCCGGTGTTGCTGATAGAGGCAGCCATCAAGCGTGAAGCCCCAGCCTTCCAGTCCTGACCACACCAACACACTGATGGTCGTCTCTGTGTTGTTACTGCTGGTGCTCGCCTTCTTGCTGCCAAAGTAAATATTTCGTTACTGCACTCTACAAATCACAACTGGAACTCGCATACATGCGCCACTCAGAAACTCGTAGGCTGAGTTGCCAAATTTAATTAAAGCCATCACGTATTTACACGGGAATACAAAAAATCTTGGCAGATATTGGTAGAATAGTGCACTGGATCCAAGAGGAGGGAATAAGTCATTAACTACACTGGAATCTTTAAGAAAAACTATGACAAATTAGAGAGGACACCATCAGCATAACTGTTCCTGTAACTTTGAAGAAGCAATAGTAAATACGCTCCGCAAATGAGACTCAACATCATTTGCAGCGGCGTCTGTATATGCAGAACAATTCTTTACATTCCACACACTTAAGCAAGACAGTGCCCCGTGCCACATGTCACAACAGGTCAAGAAATGGTTGCAAGAGAACAATCTCACTGTTTTCCAAGAGCCAGGATTCAGCTCTGACCTGAATCCCATCGACAATGATTTGATTAAAAAAATTGACTTCGACTTAAAAAAAAACTTTGATTCTGTACCTAACCTCCTGAAATTAGTAAATAAATGGAAATATGACTAATTATAAAAAAAAAGTAGGGGAGATAGGCCCAATATGCATGTGTTTGGATGTACACACTAGCGGACACAAGCTTGGATATTTGCTATCAGGCAGACATTTTTATTTTAAGCTTTTGAATACCATACTTAAATTTGAACTTGACTTCTAAGCAACATACGTAGTGTGGTGGTGGTGAGAGAGTAGTGGTTCATAGCTGTAGTTACCACGGTGGTGAGGGTAGCTAGGATGTGTTGCCACCAGCATCACCACAAGGAGTGTTGGAAGCCAGCATGGAGCACACAGTGTCATGATTGGTTACTGGTGGATCACAGGTTGTTTCCACCCACTGTCTCCCCTACCTTTTGTAAGCTCACCACGCGCTCTCTTTTCTCTCTTCTTCAAATATAGTCAACTTGACGCTGATGTGATACTGATAAGATGTATTGAAATGTTAAAACAGTTTGATGTTTGAACAGTGGTGGTTCATTTGGCTTCTTGAATTGTGGTTCACTTGGATTCTTGTATTGTGGTTCACTTAGATTCTTGTTTTGTGGTTCACTTGGATTCTTGTTTTGTGGTTCACTTGGATTCTTGTATTGTGGTTCACTTGGATTCTTGTATTGTGGTTCACTTGGATTCTTGTTTTGTGGTTCACTTGGATTCTTGTATTGTGGTTTTCACTTGGATTCTTGTATTGTGGTTCACTTGGATTCTTGTATTGTGGTTCACTTGGATTCTTGTATTGTGGTTCACTTGGATTCTTGTATTGTGGTTCACTTGGATTCTTGTTTTGTGGTTCACTTGGATTCTTGTATTGTGGTTCACTTGGATTCTTGTATTGTCGTTCACTTGGATTCTTGTATTGTCGTTCACTTGGATTCTTGTATTTTTGTGATGGTTTCACTTGCATTTGTATTGTCGTTCACTGGATTCTTGTATTGTCGTTCACTTGGATTCTTGTATTGTCGTTCCCTTGGATTCTTGTATGTCGTTCACTGATTCTTGTATTGTCGTTCACTTGGATTCTTTATGTCGTTCACATTATACATGTACTGTGGCTGGTTTCACTCGCCCAGCTATGAGTATTTTAAAGTACTCATATTTAACGCCAGTAGTAGGCTTAAGTATTTGACTTTCCCTGCGCCCAATTGCTAGTGATGTTACAGAAGTGTGTAATGTTCGAGCTGGCACTAATAAGAACTAGATAATATAGACAACCCAGCACATGCAGCTGTTTTCTCATCTGGTTTCGTGAGTATTTTAAAGACTGATGGTTTCCCCAGTTAGTTTGCGCTCCATCACACCCTATTTTTTATGCACCCGCAAGAGCCCAAAATCTGTGGTGTACTAAAAAATTATGACATTAATTAATAAAGATTACTAAGGACAACACCAGAATTTCGAAAAATACTGTGTATGGATTTGTGAGTTAGACCCTGCCATAGGGTATTGACGAGCCCAATCCGATTTAGTTAACGTATAGACTCGACAGAGCTCTCCTTTTAGGAGTATTTGTAAGCCGTCCACATAGAGCCCCACAATGATCAGTGCATCAAGAAACTACAAACGAGATTAGTACTGGAACCATGAATGGTATACAAGAATAGACTAAAGGAACTCAACACCCGAAGGAATAGAGAGAGAAAATACTGAAGGGATTATGTGTCGACCCTGCAAACACTACGTAGGTGAGTGCAAGCACGCACGCACGCACGCAAATGCAAGATTGTGAAGGTTGGAGACAGAGTATAGACTCGGGGGACAGAGGCTGCTGACCTCGTTTAAAGAGAAGGAACTTAGAGTAAGCACAGTACCTACCATGTCACCAGAGGCAAATGCTATTACATTATATCGCCTTGAAAGGTTTCTGAGGTGGTCCCATGAATGTTGATAACTAGGCTGTGAATGGTAGTTAGAGGCAGTTGGGTGATAGGTGACATTTTTATACCTACTTTATGTTTCTAAGTGCTAAGAATAAAATAAAAGAGTGCTTTATGCAATATGCTATGTGCCTCAAAAACCTGGAGAGCTTCTCTTGAAGCTAGTTATTGTTAAGAGCTTTAGAATACTGCTTTTTACTATGAAGTTCCCTCACCGCATCCCATACCATTAGAACCAGTTATATTTTTACCTCACTAAAACATTTAAACATCTGCCTGGCAGTGTTTCCATCAGTCTGCAGATATTATCATGCTAATTTTCTCAGGAGGTTTGATGCACCTGTTCCACCTATATATGTTTGGAGAGGAATGTTGATAGTTAGGTTAATGAATACACTAATGAGTGACCAGTAAATATAAAGCCTGATGCTTTTGAAAGCTGTAAAGTAAATAATAGGTATTAATAATGTCTTGTCTTCCCTGCCTAGATATTGAAGAGGAGTTTGTGAACCACCTGAAAGTGCTGGTGCCAAGGCTGTTGTCTCCTGAGAACTTGGTGAAAAAGGAGATCGGAGGCCAGCCTATCAAGGCACGGGACCTCCTCAAATTCTTCACCCTCTTCATGGAGGTGTTCAAGGATAGTGACCTACCAGAGCCTACCACCCTTGTTGAGGTAATTCCTCTCATTCTTGAATAAGTGAATCTGAGTATTGCAGCTCCTCATGACTGGTTGGGTGCAAGGATAAACAAACTATTTTGACAGTAAATGAGTAAAGCAGGCACTTAACTAGGAGATCTTTTAATTGATGATAATGTAATTTTTTAAATCATCACTTTTATTGTCACCTCTATATTATTGATTTTTGGAAATGTTTACAGTTTGCAGCCCAAGCTAGCAGCCAAGCTGCACTGGAGGCTGGTAAAGAGTTCTATGCCGAGACCATGGAGGCACTGGTAGGAGGTGACCGTCCCTTCCTCAAGACCGTGCAGATGGAAGCAGAACACAGTAAAGCAAAAGAAAGAGCCATACAGACATACCTGGAGAAAAACAAATATGGAAGAAAAAATCAGAGTGTGGTTGAAAAATACCAGCTGATGCTGGAAGAGGTAGGATTCACTGCTCTCTTCTCTTATCTGATTTTCTTTTACAACAAAATGAATTTTCAAATATTTATTCATGTGCAGTGTGTAAATTTTTTGTCATTTGTTTCATATTACAGGTACAGTATTGGTCTGTCTCTCCTTTTTTTCATGGTAGTGTACCTTCATTAATAAATCTGTCAATATTCAGTAATATAAGTTGCTCATTTTGCTCTTATTATTTAAGCTTATTAGGACAAGGTTCAGTAATGCATTTTTGGCAGCTCATAATTACACTTAGTTTTATTATAAAGTGTGATAATGACATTATCTGTAATGTGTACTTTTCAGGTTGTTGCAGTTTTCTCAAGCTTTACCAGACTCACTTGTTTTAAGGTACTAATATGTCATTTATGGTTTTTATTTTTTTTTTCAGGAGGTGGGAAAGATGTTTTTGAAATACTCTCAGCAAAATGAAGCCAAAAATGTCTTCAAAGCTGCCCGCACACCTGCTACACTCTTCTCGGTGCTCATGTTCTTCTACCTCTTGTCTGGTATCTTTGGATTGTTTGGCATGTACTCATTTGCCAACATGTGTAACCTAGGAATGGGTGTGTTTCTCATCATGCTCACTGTGTGGGCTTATGTCAGGTGAGTGTGTTTGTGTAGTACAGTAATTTATGCCTATGTGTACACATGCACCTCTCCTCTCTCTCCTCCTCTCTCTCCTCTCCTCTCCTCTCCTCTCTCTCCTCTCTCTCCTCTCCTCTCCTCCTCTCCTCTCCTCTCTCTCTCTCTCTCCTCTCTCTCTCTCTCTCTCTCCTCTCCTCTCTCCTCTCTCTCCTCTCTCCTCTCCTCTCTCTCTCCTCTCCTCTCCTCTCCTCTCCTCTCTCTCTCCTCTCTCTCTCCTCTCCTCTCCTCTCCTCTCCTCTCTCTCCTCTCCTCTCCTCTCTCTCCTCCTCTCCTCTCTCTCCTCCTCTCTCTCCCTCCTCCTCTCTCTCCTCCTCCTCTCTCCTTTCTCTCTCTCTCCTTTCTCTCTTCTGTCTCCTCTCTTCTCTCTCCTCTCTTTCCTCTCTCTCCTCTCTCTCCTCTCTCTCTCCCTACTCTCCTCTCTCTCCTTACTCTCTTCTCTCTTTCTTCTCTTTCCCTTCTCTCCTCTTTTTTTTTTTTTTTTTTTTTTTTACACAGGGTTTGACAAGGTTAGGTTAAGGATCCCTAGCTTTATTGACAAGCTTTTTTCAGGTTAAGGATTCCTAACTTTATTGGCAAGCTAAGAGCTGTTACCTACATCAGCTCATTTGAAAGCATTTTTATTGTTATGAGACATACAAGTAGGGAACAGGAGGAAGTTGGAGCCATCTGTGGGCCAGCATTTTCATTTGATCAACTGACTGTATCTCGTTGACATCATTATGCTGTACGAATGTGTTCCATACTCGAGTCATCCTGGGTATATATGATCTCAGATGGAGTGATGTTCTGGAGAAGGGTACAGTCAGAGTGAAGTTGCTGCTTTCTGCCCGTCTTGTGGCATAAAAGCTTGTTTCACGCTGTCCTTGAAGTGGATCCAAGTGTGGTACTTTGACAATATTGGCCTTGTACATAACAGTAAGGCCACCCACATCCCTCCTGTGTTGAAGGCTCTGCTGAAATGACAGGTCTATCCAGGATGGGTCCAGGCGAGAGATGAGACGTCTTGCTCTGTTCTCTACTCTGTCAAGCAGTCGCCTCTCTCTCTTTTCTCTCTCCTCTCTCTCTCTCTCTCTTCTCTCTCTCCACACTCCACTCTCTCTCTTGCTGTTGCTCTTTCACTTTCTCTTCTCCCTCCTCACTATCACTGCTGCTTTTATTACTGCTACATTATATTCACATTGATTTTGCTTTTTTTCACAGTACTGTATTATGTGTTTTAAGTATAATCCAGTGTTATTAAATGTTTGAGTTTTCATAATTTCCAAAATTTTTTTTACAGATACAGTGGAGAATACCGTGATGCTGGCGTATACATTGATGAATTGGCAACCTTTTTATGGGAAAATGTGAGTCGCAACCAGACGAAATATACATTTTATATAGTCTTAGTGATAACAGTTTGTACCAGCACCACTCTCTTGTAAAGTGTTAACCATAAATGTGTGCAAGTAGTTGTCTACTAATCTCTTCCTGGATGATGACTATGGCCCAGAACACTATTCACTAGTGGAGAACTTTTTATTGTTGATGACCTTCATTCTTTCCCAAAGATTTTATTTTTGGAATAATTGATTGTTGTTTAGAATTGTCCACCATATTTTTGCTGTTAGTGGTGAAGTAATTAAAAATAGTATTTAGTATATTGGCAGTTTGGAGGGATATGTTGTGTATCTTTATACGTATATGCTTCTAAACTGTTGTATTCTGAGCACCTCTGCAAAAACAGTGATTATGTGTGAGTGTGGTGAAAGTGTTGAATGATGATGAAAGCATTTTCTTTTTGGGGATTTTCTTTCTTTTTTGGGTCACCCTGCCTCGGTGGGAGACGGCCAACTTGTTGAAAAAAAAAAAAAATTTAGTATATATTATATATACAGTATATTTATACATAGTGTTTCTCAGTGGTTTACCATTTTCCTAGACTCGTCGGAACTTGGGGCTTTCTGTTAATATTGGCAATCCATCAGTGACATCAGTCGTTCTTACAGATTACATAAAATCTCAGATGTAGTTTAAACGTTGTTAAAAAATTTATTTAACAGACTGTCTATGTACCTTCTTCCTAATTCTTGAATTCACTTGTTTACCATTGTTGTACTGTGTATGATTTATGTATCATATAGGGCAGGGGCCATAAGAACTGTGTAAATACAGTGTAACTTGTGTAAGAGTCTCTCAGTGAGGTCACCACTCAAGAGCTGTGAGTGATGCACAGTGGAGCGTTTTCTTGCTTTCAGTAAAAAAAGAACTTCATATTTTTTCTATGCTTAGCTACAATTGTTAAAGCTACTGTATTCATTATAATTTGTACATTAAATCAAGGCCAAATTTTTTCTTAAGTAAATACTCTGACATCATGGCATCCATTGGCTCCACTATTTGTGAACACCCTGGCTTCAACCATTTGACAGTGCTTTGCAGGTGTGTCTTGCATTGTTCCAGGTCCATGGCAGCTGTAATAAACTTAATTCTGCATTTAAGAATCGTCATTATGGTTTGTGTAGCACGCCAATTACATACAGCAAATGCACATTGTTTATACAGATTTCTGAGAAAAATGGGGCATTGTACAATAGTGAATTTTCATAAAGATAGTGTGGGAAAACCTGAACTGTATCTCTTTTCTTCTCAGTGGCCTCAAAAATAGCTTCGTCATATTTGCTTTGTTTGCAAAATTATTTTTGGAATGTAGATGGGAGGGGGAGTTATGAAACAGTGGTGATTCTTTGTGCCATCTGCTCAAAATGTTTGGCTGCATTACATGCGCATCAACTACCTGTTTGATCTTAATTCTGTTCCTCATAGTCGCTAACATACAAAACAGGTGTAGAATTATGACTTGCTCCATGTTAAATTTAAATTTATTTAAAAATGGTTAGTTCTGGTTACCGAATATACTGACTTTTCCAACTTTGTTAATTAAGGTGCCATAGTTAATTTAAGCACCTTCTGGGGTAGAGTTAGTGGGAACTGTGTAATTAAGTGTATGCAGGAGTGGAAGCCACTGTATGTTGCCTCTCCTGCTGCCATTTGTATCTAGTACAGCACAGTTGCCTTCTAACCACTTCAGCCCCTCAGTGTGTTTTCTTTTTCCTCCTCTGGTAAACAGTAAACTACCATGATTGCCTATTTATAATGCTGGGAGCAGAGCTATGTTCAAGGTGTCACAACTTTAGTGTTCAGTTTGTCATATTTCTTAAGTTTTCCAGTGATTGAAATATTTACTTCCTCCTCCTTGGGTCCCATTCTACCATTGTTGTGAAGCAAAGCTGTATAGTATCCTTTCTGCACTGCTTTTTTTTTTTCTTGATCTACAACTATGGCCTTTTGTTCACCCTCCTGATTATGCTAAGAAAATAATCTATATACACGTATTTCATCATAGCTTTTAAAGATCTTATATGTGGTTATCATGTCTCCTCTTCTATAAGTCACAATAGGGAATGTTTTTTCTTATTGTTCTTTGATATTTGCTTATGGCCTCATTGGGATAGGGATAACAATATGGCAGATGTTGCAAATGTGTGGAATAAAGAATTTGTATACAGGTAGTGAGTCTCAGGTGATGATGTGTAGGAATGAGGGGGGGGGGATTATTTTTCCATTAAAGTAGGCCTTAAGCAGAGTTGTGTGGTGTCACCATGTTTCTTTTTAAATATTTATAGATAGGATTGTAAAAGAAGTAAATGACAGGGTGTTGGATAAAGTGTTTGATTAAAAGATATTGAATATGATACAAAGTGGGAGTTGTCACAATTCCTCTTTGCCAGTGAAACAGTTCATTTGAGAAATTCTGAAGATAACAGAAAAAAGGTTGGTAGAGGAATTTGGGAGGTATGGAAAAGAAGGAAATTAAAAGAGAACATAAACAAGAGTAAGGTGGTGAAGCTCAAAAGAAATAATATATTATATATAATGTGTGATAATGTGTGAGTGTGGTGAAAGTGTTGAATGATGATGAAAGTATTTTCTTTTTGGGGATTTTCTTTCTTTTTTGGGTCACCCTGCCTCGGTGGGAGACGGCCGACTTGTTGAAAAAAAAAAAAATATGATAGAGTGGATAGAGGAGCAATGTGGCAGATGTTGCAAGTATATGGAATAGGTGGTAAGTTACTAAATGCTGTTAAGAGTTTTTATGAGGATAGTGAGGCTCAGGTTAGGGTGTGTAGAAGAGAGGGAGAATACTTCCCGGTAAAAGTAGGTCTTAGACAGGGATGTGTAATGTCACCATGGTTGTTTAATATATTTATAGATGGGGCTGTAAAAGAAGTAAATGCTTGGGTGTTCAGGAGAGGGGTGGGATTAAATTATGGGGAATCAAATTCAAAATGGGAATTGACACAGTTACTTTTTGCTGATGATACTGTGCTTATGGGAGATTCTAAAGAAAAACTGCAAAGGTTAGTGGATGAGTTTGGGAATGTGTGTAAAGGTAGAAAGTTGAAAGTGAACATAGAAAAGAGTAAGGTGATGAGGGTGTCAAATGATTTAGATAAAGAAAAATTGGATATCAAATTGGGGAGGAGGAGTATGGAAGAAGTGAATGTTTTCAGATACTTGGGAGTTGACGTGTCGGCGGATGGATTTATGAAGGATGAGGGTAATCATAGAATTGATGAAGAAAAAAAGGCAAGTGGTGCGTTAAGGTATATGTGGAGACAAAAAACGTTATCTGTGGAGGCAAAGAAGGGAATGTATGAAAGTATAGTAGTACCAACACTCTTTATATGGGTGTGAAACTTGGGTTGTAAATGCAGCAGCGAGGAGGCAGTTGGAGGCAGTGGAGATGTCCTGTCTAAGGGCAATGTGTGGTGTGAATATTATGCAGGAAATTCGGAGTGTGGAAATTAGGAGAAGGTGTGGAGTTAATAAAAGTATTCGTCAGAGGGCTGAAGAGGGGTTGTTGAGGTGGTTTGGTCATTTAGAGAGAATGGATCAAAGTAGAATGACATGGACAGCGTATAAATCTGTAGGGGAAGGAAGGTGGGGTAGTGGTCATCCTCGAAAAGGTTGGAGGGAGGGGGTAAAGGAGGTTTTGTGGGCGAGGGGCTTGGACTTCCAGCAAGCATGCATGAGCATGTTAGATAGGAGTGAATGGAGATGAATGGTATTTGGGATCTGACGAACTGTTGGAGTGTGAGCAGGGTAATATTTACTGCAGGGATTCAGGGAAACCAGTTATTTTTATATAGCCGAACTTGAGTCCTGGAAATGGGAAGTACAATGCCTGCACTTTAACCCCTTGACTGTTGCAACCCCCAATCCTGAGGTGTCTCCTTGTGTTGCAAAATTAAAAAAAAAAATATTTTTTCTTATGAAATGATAGAGAATCTTTTCCCGATTGTAATGACACACACACAAAAAAAAAAACGAAATTTGATGGAAGACTGACGGAATTACGCTTTCGCGAAGTTAGCGACCTCAGCGATATTTACAAATCGGCAATTTCACCCACTTTGAGCCCTATATTCGGCTAATTCCATTGTTCCAGTCGACCAAACTCATAGCTATTTCTTTAGAACTTCATTTTTTCTATCAATTGAGTACAAGAAACTGCCCATTTACCCATTTCAACTACCCAATAACGTGGCCAGAAATTTGCAATTTGGCCAATTTCACGAAAACTATAAAATATGACAATTTCAAAATAAGGTCCAGTATGAGCAATGCAGACATTCCTGGCTCTAAAATAACATTTTGTTTGTTCATCAGTCATGTCTCCAGGCCCCTCTGATATTACTCTTGCTTTCTATTTTGAATTTTTATTCAAACAAAAAAAATAGAAGATTTACTGTTATGCAGACTAATGCGATACTGTAATAATTGTACAAATAATGTCAACCCATTCATGACTGCATATTAGAATGGCTAGTTGGACATTTATTGGACAAAGACATCATTTGTTTACTTTTGAACATCGGCAAAAATCAAACATTTCCGCTACTTTGAGCTCCATTTCCAGGTTCTTTTTATAGTAAAACCAATCAAAATCACCATTATTTCTATAATATGTTTTCCATTCTATCAAATGAGACCAAGTAAATGAGAATACAACCATAAAGTCGGTATTTTAATTAAAAAAAACGGCTGGAGTTTTTTTTTCTCATTATGCACTGCGTGCTTCAGGATTTTTTTATATGGTGCACACTGACCACACAGATCCATTCTCTCACATGTGGGCCTACCAGCTTTCTCCTGTTTGATTTGAAGCTGCTAGAATTTATGAGTATATATACGTCAAACACGGTGGCTAGTAAGACGTATATATACGACCGAAGCAGTCAAAGGGTTAAAGGAGGGGTTTGGGATATTGGCAGCTTGAAGGGATATGTTATGTATCTTTATACGTATATGCTTCTAAACTGTTGTATTCTGAGCACCTCTGCAAGAACAGTGATTATGTGTGAGTGAGGTGAAAGCGTTGAATGATGATGAAAGTATTTTCTTTTGG